AGAGTAGTAAGGGCGTGGAATGCCCTGCCTGCAAAAGTAGTAGACTCGCCAACTTTCAGGGCATTTAAATGGTCACTGGATAAACATATGGATGATAACGGAATAGTTTAGGTTAGATAGGCTTCAGATTGGTTTCACAGGTCGGCGCAACATCGAGGGCCGAAGGGCCTGTACTGCGCTGTAATGTTCTATGTTCTATGTTCACCATTCTCGGTGACATCATCAGTGAGGTCTTCGAAGAAGTGATGTTGTTCTACTCTGCTTGGAATTTATACTGTCTGGTCTTGTTATAGCGAGTACTGTCATTTCCGGTTTTGATCTGTATGAGTTTGTATATGAGGTCCAACTCTATATGATTGTTAATTGCATTATGGGTGGAGAACCATGTTTCTAGGAATTCCCATGCGTGTCTATGCTTGGCTTGGGCTACTATGGTTACCTTGTCCCAGTTAAGCTGTTGACCTTCATTGCCTGAGTGTACCGATATTAAGGAAAGTTTGTCGTGTCGTTTTGCAGCTAGCTGATGTTCATGTATTCTGATGGCTAGTTTCCTTCCTGTCTGTCCGATGTAATGTTCATGGCAGTCAGTGCATGGTATTTTGTAAACCATGTTGGTTCTGCATGTTGTGGGAATGGAGTCTTTAATCCTTGTGAGCGAGTGTTTGTCGTAGAGTGGCTGTGGGCTTGTGTGGCTACCATGATTCCTAGTGGTCTTAGGAGTCTTGCTGTCAGTTCTGATATGTTCTTGATGTAGGACAGCGTGGCCAGTGTGTTACGGTATACTGTGTCCTCCTGTTGTTGTCTGTTAGTGGGCACCTGCAGATGAAACTGCAGGGATATTCGTTCATAGAGAACATTTTGTATAGGTGCTCTTCCTCTTTCCTGTGTAGTTCCGGAGTGTTGCAGTGTGTCCTGGGCTGTTTAAATAGTGTGCTAATGCAGGCTTGTTTGTGGACTTTGGGGTGGTTGCTGCAGAAGTTGAGGATTTGATCAGTGTGGGTTGCTTTTCTGTATATTGAGGTTTGGAACTCCCTGGTCATATGCTCAACTTTAACATCCAGAAACGGAAGTTAACTGTTGCTTTCTTCCCTTGCGAATTTAATCCCTGCAAATACACTGTTGATGAGGTGGCGGGTCTCTTCTAATCTGTTGCAGTTAATAACAACAAATATGCCGTCTACACACCGGATCCACAGTTTAGGTTGAATGTGGGGGAGGGGAGTGTGTTCTACGCTTCGCAGGACTGCTTCTGCAAGGAGTCCGGAGATGGGTGACACCATTGGTGTACCATTGATCTGTTTGTATATTTGACCATTAAAAGACGAAAATGTGTGGTGAGGCACAGGTCTAATAGTTTAAGTGTGTTATCATTGCTGATGGCGCTGGTCTGCGTTGCTGCTTCCTCTAGTAACTGGAATGGGGTGATCCATTGACTAGGTGTATCATTCTCTATTGAAGGTCCTTGGTCAGTTTGTGTAAAGCTGTGCCTGGTAGGGAAACAATGGGTCTAAGGAGGATCAGAGATAGTAGGAACTGCAGATGCTGGAGAATCCGAGACCACAAGGTGCAGAGCTGGATGAACACAGCAGGCCAAGCAGCCTTTGCTCCTATGATGCTGCTTGGCCTAAGGGGGATGTCTGCTTTGTGTACTTTAGGAAGCCCACAGAAATGCAGAGTGTTCATCCAACATCTACAAACAAAACTGCATTAGCACACTATTTAAACGTGACACGACACACTGCAATACTCGGAACTTTGCAGGAAAGAGGAAGAGCACCTATACAAAATCCTCACTACAAACAGATATCCCCGCAACTTCATCCACAGATGCCTGCTAAACAGACAACAGGAGGACACAGTGCACCCTAACACACTGGCCACACTGCCCTACACCAAGAACATATCAGAACTGACAGCAAGACTCCCAAAACTATGAAGAATCATGGTTGCACACAAGCCCACAGCCACTCTATGACAAACACTCAAGGATTAAAGACCCCATTCACACAACATGCAGAACCAACGTGGTTTAGAAAATACAATGCAACGACTGCCACAAACATTACAACGGACAAGCAGGAAGGAAACTAGCCATCAGAATACATGAACATCAACTAGCAGCAAAACAGCACGACAATCTTTCCTTAATATCAGTACACTCAGACAATGAAGGCCATCAGTTTAACTGGGGCAAGGTAACCATAGTAGCCCAAGCCAAACAGACACGCACGGGAATTCTCCACCCGTAATGCAATCAAACATATAGAATTGGACCCCATATACAAACCCATACAGAACAAAACTGGAAATGATACGACTCACCATAATGGACCAGACAGTATAAATTCCAAGCGGAGTAGAACAACATTGCTTCATCGGAGGCCTCACTGACGATGTTACCTAGCATGGTGATAAAACGTCTGAACGAAAACAAGCCAGCTCGGTGAGCAAGTCAACAACCTCACCTGAGCTGAAAATCTTTGCTAAAACTTTAGTGTATAAAGCGGACAGAAGGAGCCTACAAAAGGGATATACGTAGGCTAAGTGAGTGGAGAAAGATCTGGCAAATGGAGTACAATGTTGGAAATGTGCAATTGCCCACTTTGGTACAAAAGAATTTAAAAAAAGGTATGCTAAATAGCTCACCACTTATATTGCAAAGGTCGGAGATGCAGAGAAATCTAGGTGACCTAGTGCTTTAATTATAGAAGATTAGTATGCAAGTACAGCAAGTAATTAATAATGCTAACAGAATGTTATGTTTTATTGAGTGAAATTGAATGCAAGAGTAGGAAGGTTATGCTTTAGTTATACAGGTCATTGGTGAGACCACATCTGGAGTACTGTATACAGTACTGGTTAATGCATCTTTGAAAGGATGTTAATGTATTAAAAGCAGTTCAGACAAGGTTTACTTGACTAATACCTGTGATCGGCAGACTGCCTTATGAGAAACAGCTTGACAGGCTAAGGCTGCAACCTCCGGAGTTTAGAAGACTCCGAGGTGATCTACTTGAAACACACAAGATCCTGAGCAAACTTGAAGAGGTAGGTGTTGAAAGGATGATTCCTCTTGTGGGAAATCTAGAACCAGGGGTCAGAGTTTAAAAATAAGGGGTCATCCATTTAAGACAGAGAAAAGGAGGTATTCTCTCTCACAGGAATAAGAGTATCTTTGGAATCCCCTTTCTTCAAAAAGCAGATGCAGAATCTTTAAATATTTTTAAGGCACAGGCATATTTTTGATTTCCAAGGGTGTTAAAGATTATTGGTGATAATCAAGCACATTGAATGAACCATGATCAGCCATCTTATCAAATAGCAGAGTAGGTGCGAACGACCGAGCGGTCTACTCTTGTTCCTTGCTCTGCTGTGCATACTAACATCTCCTGTGATGTATCCAATATGATGCTGTATGAAGTAATGCTTTAGTTTACAAGGAGTCATACAACATCTAGAAACTTAAATTCTTACAGCATGGGGCAGTGTAGGTGTGGATAAGATGCTTTCCCTGGTTGAGGAGACTAGACGTAGGAGATACCCTTATTCTGAGCCTGAAATTGATTTAAGACTGAGATGGAAGGAATTTCTTCATTGAAAGGGTTGTGAATCTTTGGAATTCTGAGCCTAAGTGGCCCGTGGAAGTTCAATCATTGAAAATGCTCAAGATAAAACAAAAATGAAAGAGATTAATGGATTTTTGGATATCAATGACAGAGCACCCAGGGATAGTGGTGAATAATGGCATAGGTATAAATGATTTTTTTTGCATGAAGGACCAGGCTAGGCAGGCCGAATGGTCTACTGCTGCTCCTATTTCCTCCATTCCTAGATATATTCAGGGTAGGTAAGTGAATAATACCCAGAGAGCAAACCTTTTGAAAGTTCAAAACTACAAAGCGAAAACATTATTTATACATGGATATGACTAAAGGACTATGGGATTTTTCAGTTTTAGCCCAACCCCTTAGGCTGGGTTTTTACATTGAATAGCTGTAATAACAATGCCAAATGCCATTTATATCAAACAGTAATGGCACAGGCTCACCTAATGACATGGAAAAGTCACTAATTTTTGAAGCATAGTATACTTCAAGGTTTCTCGATCCAAGACATTAAAGATACTCAACGATCTTGAAAAAAATTTATTTCACAGTACAGGAAGTTTCTTTGACACAACTGCATAAAGCACAAGTAAATATCTGTGCAGACTAATACCTCAAAGTAAGGGGATATACTTCCCTACTTGAGTGTTACTGACTTATGAAATGGGCAGTTATATTTCTAGTTGCACAAAACTACTAAAATAAACCATATTGTGTGCATCAAACTGCACACTGAGCAAGTACAAGTTAGTTCTATTCTTATGAACTTGTTGGCACACAGTTTTATATTAATTTATCCTTTTACTACTTGCAAAGGTAATAGAAGGCATGTTCCAAAATGCATCAGAATATAACACGGTTACAATAGGCTAGATGATATAAGTGGCAGTACTGATTGTTCTTGTACAAACCCGACTAAAGAGCTGGCAGAATTAAAATTACTTCTAGGATTATATGAAATGAAAGAATGCAATTGCATCCACATAAGACTGCGATCGTATAATTGGACCTCAAAATCACAACAATGGCTAAACTGGTCAGTGATGCAATATCAAACGCTTACTGCATTCAATGCTTCTCACACTATTTGGTATTATTGTTACTGCATATCATGTTACCGGACGAAGATGAAATTACAGAAATTAGAGGGGGATATTCTTAATAATGAATAACAAAATTAAACCAATTATCTATTTGATATTAAAATTAGGCCATTGCCTTATACATTTTTTACTAACTGATGATTCCATCTCAAGCCTGACATTCTACCCATTGGTGCAAGTGGACTGAAGTATTTTGATAATAGCAGTGAAAGGAGTAAGTATTACTCATTTAAAACCTACCATTGATCATTAGAAAATTGTCAGTTCCTGGATGTGGATATCCTAAACGACCTGAAATGAGTAAGACAAATTAAAATTAAAGATTTCTGAAAGAAAGACTATTGTTGAAAATACAAGTGAGGGCATTGCAACATTAACTTTTAAAAAAAGCAAAGAAAAATTCTTGCTTTTATGAAACCCCTTTCATAACCTCAGTCACCTCAAAGTGATTTCCAATAAATTATGTCCTTCAGAATTGTAATAAAACTAAGCTATCACACGCACTGTTGTTATCCAGCCGAGTTCCATCACTATTTTTAAAATATTAGCAACAAAACAAATCTCCTTCAATGGCTTCTGCTCTTTTCATTCATTCATGGGATGTAGGTGTTGTTGATTAGGCCAGCTTTTACTATTCATCCCTAAATTTCCCTCAGTAGTGAACTGTCTTCTTGAGCCACTTATGTCCATATTCTACAGGTAGACCCACAATATCATGAGAGAGGGATTCT